CACTGATGGGAAACATATGTTCCCCTCTCTCCCCCCAACTCCTTAGTTTTGCTAAACATAATTTCTTCCCATCATCACAGCTCTGCAATGAGTGCAAAGAAATCTGACAGAACTCTGCTGCCACGACTGAACGCTACAGACAGTGGAGGCTGTTTCCAGTCTCGCTACTGACAGTGCTAAAACCTGGTATCTTCATTTGTCGGCGCATTTCCCTGCTTTCCTCGTTTTGCTCCCTGTCCCTTTTCCACAGGACCAATGACTACACGACAGCTTGGCAATTGCTCCGGGACTGCGTTAGTGTTCCCGCCTAATTACTGACGGGCACCGCGCGCTGAATGTTCGTAGCTGCTTCCCAGAGAAGTTCATACATCTTCAGCTAAAGGTCAAATGCCTGTCCAAGCCTGGCGAGCAGCCGGCTGTGGCACGCTCTTTTCTCTGGCTGAGAGCACAGAAGGGAGTTCTGGAGCGACTGATACCTTGGAAGCAGACTAAGCAAGAAGGAGCTCATTTGCAACTGGGTGAACTGGGAAAGGCCCGTGGCCCCAGGCTGATGGAATGGTGTTTGCTTCCAGAAGCAGAGCGAGGTATCCCGGTGAGGTACCCCAGCCACACTTCAGCAGCACTCAGCCAGCCTGGGGCTAGAGGCATCTTCCCCTCCTGCTGCCTTTGTAAAGGAAAAGGATCACAGTAGGAAAACGTCTCAACTTCCTAAGAGAAAGGTATTGTAGCATCATTTGTCCTTCAGAAAAGCTACTCACAGATCTGTAGTAAGGACATGTTTTTCAGGAAAGCACACAAACCCCACACTACAAAGATTCCAGCTTGGCATTTCTCTTTGGGTGTAAAGTTGCTGCAGATTCACTGGTGAGACCAGAAAGCCCTGTTTCCTCTCTGGGTCAGGCCTGATTTCAACACTTGGCTACCAAAGTTGTTCCCTCTGCCACAAACACATCAGCAAAATGCCATTTTGAAATTGTAATGGCTGCTGTAAAGGGCAACAGTGCATGTCCTGACTCATAAATAATGGCTTCTGAAGAAGGGTGCATGCTGTAAAAATGGGTGGTAATTCTTGGTAACTGTTAAATTTCTAGCTTACACCACTCTCTGAAATGATTGATACCAGTCAAACAGCTTTGGTGGATTATTTTAATGAAATGTAACTACTCTTGCCATCATTAAAATTACTCTTCTGTAACTACTGCAGCAAGCATAAGCTGGAAAGGACATGCCAAGAAGCCCCTAAAAGTGTAATATGGAGGAAAAGTGGGCAGAGGCCTTTAACCAGGCTGGCACTGCAGCCACAGGGCTCCTCCCAAATCAAGTTAATACAAGGCTCACTGAAAACGTTTGTAGATGTGTAGCTTTAGAGACAGCGGGGCCAGCTTACACAGATGTACTAGTTCAGCACATTCACAAAAAACCATGTTCTTCTCTTGTCCAAAGCAAAGGACACTGCAAATGCTTTTTTGACCCTTCCATGGGTAATGAACCCCAGCACTTTGCAAGTGCAGAGCAGGAAAGCCACTCCCCCTTGCCACGTCTACATGCAGCAATCTCATTTACTATAAGCTTGGGCTATGTTGCTTTTATCGTTGCTGTTCCCCTACTAAACCCTCCAAAGTCCCTAATATACAGCTCATAAATAAAATGCTGGAAATGTGCCTCGGATTTAATTACTCCAAACTTATTCACAAATTTGCAATAACATTTCAACAGCTGACTCCTCTTTCCAGGTGCATTCCCAGGCAGCTGGAGGGAAACTAGAAGAAAAAAATGTTCCCAAACTAACATTCCAGAGAGTCTAACTTGTGGTCAGCATTGACATGCTCCACACGGCTCATCACCCAGACGGAACAGGATACAGTGGAGAAAAGCTACAAGGTAGAAATAGAGCTACTGGCTAATTATTTGAAGGCAGGGCATGGAAGGATTGGCGAGATCAAAGGCACATTTTAATCAGCCATGGTGCTGGGGAGTGCTGCCGTGCGTGGCAGGTGGGTCACACTGCTCCTGCAGTCTTTATTCTGGGAGATGAAAGGCATCCCACCCCACTCTAAATACAGCTATTTTAGTTAGGGTTTGCCACAGGGAAACGCTTTAGCCAAATTTTTATCATTAGGCTCCATTAGCAGAAAAGCTTCTGCCATGGTAATCTCAGTGTCTAAGTGAGAGGCACATTTTCTAGGGACCCAGAGTGGGAGCAATCCCTGTATTGTTCTGTTACAGAGAAGGGACTTTGTGGGTTTGTGAATAATCCTATCCTCATTGCAAAGCAAAAGGGTAATCTTAATAGTGGTTAAAAAGCGTGGTTGATTCATAATAGGACAGCATCCAGCCCATGAAATCCTACACTTCCCCCACAAACCTTCCTCCACACTAAAACCCAGGGACTTCCATAGCCTGTAAGCTGCAGGGACACATCTTTTGTGGTTTTATCTCAGCTCGCTGCAACGCATGTGGATTCCCATCAAAATTTAGTCTTTAAAAATATTGGTTAAATCCATCATAAATATTAAACACCAGAGTATACTGGCAAGTTTCCCTGAAAACAAACTTCAAAAAATAATCTCCAAAAAAGATGTCAAGGCCCTTGGGAGAACTGACACTGGCATGTCATCAGATGTTGTCTTATAAGGCTAAATTAAGCATCTGACCAGAGTTTAATTTCTGTAAAAACTCATGCTAATTTAAATTGCTTTAGATTTAATTAAAAATGGCTTTCTATAGAGATAATAATGTAACTCTGTTAATTAGTATCAAGTGGCATCTAGAGGGCATATTTAAAAACTAATCTGGAGAATAAATAGCGCTAATTAACAGTCAGAATAATGCTTTATGATTGTCTTTTATTTATAAATGCTATAACGTTCAATAAGCTATTAAATGAAATTGTAATTAATATATATCAAAGTTATTTTTTAATATTCTTTTAACTAAAGAGTATTTCTTACACACCATTTTTCAGGAGATCTGAATGTGTTTTGTTTCTGGAGGAAGGGAAGGAGGGAGGGGGAAGGAGCACTGCTGAGCGACGTACATACAGATTCAATTAGCACCAGCTCATTTATCTGCCCTGTGCAGAATGTTATGTGTTTGTGAGCCCACAGGGCCATCCAGTGAGGCATTGGTTTTGACTCTGTGGGGTTTGCAGACGTGCACTGCTGGCCATGGCACCGTGGGGCCGTGTGGCGGGCAGAGAAGTGGCAGATTTTGCCTTCAAAATCTAAGCCTCGCAAACCCACGGCCAAAGGGCTCAAAGGGCTGCCTTTCTCCTCAGACAGAAGTTCTCATTATCCTCCAGTCTCCCTTATGATGACAGGTTGGACTACATTCACTATATCAAATAAAATCACTGAAGTACTCTAAACTACATCATGCATGAAAAGCAGAGGCAACCAACTCTGTCTTTTGTGTCCTTTAATGCTTATAAATCAGAAATAACTCCCACAAATACAAATCAAATAAAAAACACTTTCATTTGTATTCTGCAATGTCCATGCTGAGCAATTTTTTGAAGCACCATCAATGGCAGCATGTGTACTACTTGCATTTGGTTTTAATCCATAATTCTGAGTATTCCTTCCTTTTTTATCCTTTGCTAATGTTGAAAAAATCCTCTAGCTACCCAGAGCAGAGTTCATTTCAAAACAGGAAAGCTCTTCTTTTTTTGTCAGACAAGGATTCAGCATTAGTTTGTAGCACAAACTTTCAGAAGAAACTTTGAAGACCACACAAAGAAAAAAGTTACTGTCACTAGCAAGATTCAAAGCTAACCACAACAACTGCTGCTCTGACCTGTGTGATATGACTTTCATGCCACTTTGCTGACATGCACTTCCCTCTACAACAAGTACGCGTTCGGCAATAACAAGAACAAGCCTAGATTATTTACATGGTCTAGGTGGGTGCCAGCAGACACACACCATCAACACCTGAGATCCCAAACACCAGAAGAATGATCAAAGGAATTTGTCTGCGTACTATGAGTCAAAATGGCCTCCAGCACAGACAAAAACACTGGAAGAAATACGAACATATGGTATTGACACTTCCCAGCATGGCAGACAGCCATGGCAAACACTTTTGGAGATAAAATTAGATTGGGGAAGCAAAGCTGGAGAAAAACAAAGCCAAGTATGAACTCTGAAAGCATTTCAGCTCAAGGTCATTGGAATACTTGCCATAGAACATCAGCAGTGGTATCATTCTACCTTTTGTTTTCTGACAGATCTGCAAAAGCCAAAGAAACTTCGAGAAACACTCAGTTGGAGATAAAAATGAAAGTGCACTACAGTGATCAGCAATACTTTTGATGCTGTTTATTCTGGAGACTAAAACAAGGCAGAAACTCAAAATAGCTATCAAAATTAATTCCTGGTTTCTCAAAAGTACAAAGTAACTAAAAAGCAATATTTTTGTAAGTATGTAATCTGAAAAGCACCTTGTAAGGAAAAGTTTCTGCTTTGGTTTTCTTTTTGTTTGGTTGGTTTTTTTTGTTTGGTTTTGGGTTTTTTTGGTAAAACGATGTAAATCTCTCTTATTTAAAGGTCTCCAAGAAAACACTTAAAAACTGTTGCTTCCTGACTCCCATCTACCCTGCACAAAAATTGTACCATGAACTAGCTCTGAATGAAGGGAGATTTGTGGTAAGGGATGAATTGTGACAAATGTCCCAGCCCTGTAACACTCCATCCCAGATCCAGGAGATAAAGTTGTTCAGTTTCCAAACCTGGTTTTAAAGCTACTTTGCTGAGCAAGACAAACCACCTCCAGGGGAGTTTTTTTCTGGAGGGGAAACAACATATTGTGAAAGTTAAGAAAACCCTCAGATAGAAGCTTCTGACCATTATCTACTTGGAGAAGATTCAAAGCAATAAAGACAGCACAAAGTTTTGGCTCCAAAAGGAGTTTTCAACAAGTATGAAGGAAAGTCAGGCAAAACTATACTAAAATTTGAAGAGGTGCATATTAAAACTGTGATTTAATGAACAATCTCTTACCTAAAACTCTCAGTCTCTCTGCTCCAACCACCACTTCGTTGTCATCTGCAGAAAACAGCAATTTTCCAGAGAGGGTTTTCACCTCAAATTTTTGGCTGTGTGCTTCCACTGCTTGGGGACCTAGAGAGGAGGATCACAACCTTTTAGTGAAAAGTATAAGAAAATAATACATTTCATAAACCCATTTGCTGAGATTGTCCTAATAGCTCTGCAGATACAACCTGCATCTGAGACACTAAACAGGAGATCTGTGCTTTTATATCTCATTAGTAAAGGGCAGTTTTCTACCCAAATAAGAACCTTTCAACTATTTCTACTTGAGGGTTTTTTTTTAAATGCTTATGTGTGCCATAAAATCACCATTAACCTTGGTACAGCTGGGAAATTTTTACAAAAAGACACCAATGAATGTACCCAGTCTTGCTTTGAGAGTATTGGTGCAGCAGTAAGAGGTATCAAAAGCTTCAGGGTCCATTTTGCTTTGACTGATACCACAGTGTAAAAGATTCCTTTTTTTTCTGCCTCTTAAATATGTCTGGTTTAAAATTCTATCAGTGTCATGCACAGCCTAATTAAAAAAAAAAAAAAGACAAACACCACCACAGGAGCAAATGTTTTCTTTTAGAATACTTCAATCATGTGCAGGCCAAGAAAAATGGCAGCCTCTCATGTTGCACCAAGTTTTTAGACAAGTAAAACTTTCCTTAGTAGATCTTATTTCAATTCTGGTGCTTTCCCTGCAGGCTGCTGTGCCCTGCAGTGCTGGAAAGCCTCTGGCAATACATTTTGTTGTGGAGTCTGATAAACATCAGCTGCCTGAATATCAATTCTGTGCAGGTTTGTGGCTCAAGGGCTGCAAAGAGCAGAGCCCTCAGTTACTGACCTAGGCTAAACTCTGGACAAATCACCTTCTAAAAGCCCTACCAACTCTGTTCGAGCCACAGCCTCCCTGGAATATTACCCTGCACATGGTAGGTGATTGGGTTTTGCATTAATTCTGGCCATTTTCATGCCTAGTCTCATTTCTCAAAAGACAAGAGAAATAAGACCTGAAAACCAGTATTTTCTTATAGGCAGCTTCGGACTCCATCTCTATCCAGAGTTTCCCTGCACAGGTCATCTGTGTTGGCATCAGGGCACAAAGAATCATGAACATGGTTCTGACTACAGAGAAGTGAGGCCATGCTGAGATCCCTGGAAACACTTAAAAACTGTTGCAGCCTTTTGAGAAAATCCAGTACTTTAATTTGTATTTGTATCTCTCTTATTAACCACCTCCCTGCTCATCACTGAAGCAGGAGCTACATGGGACCACATCTTTGATCCACTCTGAAATAAAAGCTGCTGCCAAATGCAGAAAAAGATCAATAACCAGAACATCACACCAGGAAATATCACTGAGTGTGTCCTCCCAAGCTCTCATGACATGGAGGTGCTTTAAGAGAACCAAACACCCTCTTGAAAATATACGGAGAAACAAGAACCTCAACATGTTCATTCTGAATGTGTGAATCAGGGAGCTTGGGGTTGAATTTATTTCCTTCCCCCAGGCAATTTTCACGCATTCTGCCTAAATAATTGCTCACTGAAGCTGTATATTTAATTATTTAACACTGTGACTAGAGGCCAAGATGTTATATAAGCAAACCAAACAACCCAGTCTCAGTGTAGAAACATGTTTATGAATTACTGGCTCTGCCATTCAGCAATACTTCTCCCAGTCCATGGATAAATCTCAATAAATATATACCTACCCTTTATCATATATATATATTATATTACCATATAGAAAGCATTAGTCTCTTTCAACCCAAATTACACATGCATTTCTTCAAAGGCTGCTGTGCATTGGGGATTTATGAAACACTCATTCTTCTATCAAACACACTCATGTTTGGGAGCACAAGGGAATTCTTCATCAACAGAAGGACTCTAAATTGCAAAGCCACAGTTGATCTCCAGAGTTCCCAAGATTTCAGGCAAGTTTTAAGTGTCTTAGGAAAAACCTGTGCTTATTACAATAGAAATGTCAGCCTGCATATGTTCTTCTTGACCCTGAAGTCGCACAACTAACATTTCTATCTCTGCATTGGTTTTCAAATGAAAACAATGGTTTGCTTCCTTATCAGACAGCACCAGCCAGTTGCCTCTCCAGCATAGCTTTCATGTCTCCAGCTTAGTTTCCACAAAGTAGAGCGAAGTTTCCATTTGTACTTCACAAGACACCTGGGCTCCCCTCCTGAGCGCTGTCTGAAGCCAGCCCAGCATCCCACAACACTCCCACTTTCATCCCTCCCTAATCCTTCCAAGCAGGAATCCTTCCTCTCCCCCTCCTTACCTGTTACAAGGCGAGTGAGGACTTTTGTCTTCTCATTGAGGATGTTCACTGTCACATTTCTGGCGGACTGGAAGTACAGTGGGTTGCCCTGGAACAAGACCACGAGACCAAGGATGTGAGATGGAGGTGGTTGCCTGGGACCTGCCTGCTTGAGACACCTGGAGCTTTTCCCAGCACTGGGGTAACAGCCCCAAGGGTAGGTGTGTGGTTGGGGTGCAGGATACTCTGCAGGATTTCAGGCTACCTTGCAGTAATTCTTATTGCCCAGGATAAAACCAGAGTGCACAACACACCTTTGGCCCAGGCAGTGCCCCAGAGACCAGCCTTGTTTTAGGGACTGTTGGCTTTATTGCTGGTATAACCCAACCAATCTGCTATTTTAAAATGTGCAGGTGATATGGGACCTGACCTAAGCTTCCTGAAGGTGTTTTGGGAGGGTGGCTGAGTGCAGCAGTGCATTTCAGAGTCAAACCTGCAATATTACTGCTGATGACTCCAGTGGGTGACTGTCAACCACACGGCCACGTGAGCAGGCCATGCCCAAGAGCTGGGAAGAAGAAAACCTGGTGAACTTGTAGAGAGTGCCTTTCATCTCAAAGCACTGATGAACCATCTGGCTTCTATCACCATCACACTGTGGTGGGATGCCAGCTTTGAACCAGACCCATCTACAGAACACAAGACACGAAGCCCTCCCCATTCCCCACTTGACCATAGAGATTTCTACCAATTTTTCATTTTTATGCTTTCAATACCCCTCTGAGAGAAGAGCCAGAGCAGCTGCTAACATAAAGGAGCCACACAGCTACCTGGCAACATCCATCTCAGGTACTTCTCCTGCAGAGCAAAGCCAAAGAAGACCCACAGCTACAACCATCTGGCTCCTTCTGTGTGCAAACACTTCCAAGACACCGGGGCACTCATGTTTTCTTCAGGCAGCTCCAGCCTGCACGGCTGGTTTCTCAGGGGCTATTAGACACCTACAGCACCAGCACAGGGTGACCCCAACTTGAATCAGCCAAAAATCTAAAGAGCAAGGTGGAAATTCACTGCCAGTATTTCTTTGCAAGGTCCAAAGCAGGCAGCTGATCAAATTCATCAATGGACTAAGCCGCAGGATAGGTAGAGGGGATAAAATAGCAAGAAAATCAGCAAGGAGTTGCAAATTTTATGCCTGTTGTGCTTCTTCGACCAACGTCTTTTTTCAGCATTTCAAAATCTTTCCACTAAGAATGAATAATCAGGATGGGGACAGAGAATCATGTAGGTCAGGGACGTTCTCCTTGCCTCCTGGATTTGTAAGAAACACAATGAATATTTTCCTAGATGCCATTTTTTAGGGGATCATGGCAGATGGTTGTTTGCATACAAAACATAACAGGAGCACAGAAATTACTTATGGCAGTCCTATGATGGACTGGAGCTTCAAATAACACCCTGGTGATAGACAAATGATTCCCAGTGGTGTTTGCAGAAGACAAATCTCCAAAAAAACTAAAGTAAAACCGGCCCCACATGTGACCAAATATTCACAACAATTACATTTGCTGCATGTGCCCTTGGGATCAGCCCTTCAGCAAGAAAGGGGGAAAGGATTAGGATATATCAACTAAAGGATTTATTTGATCAGTTATAACTAGACCCTTATGACTACATTCAGACTATTTACAACTGAATAAAAATAACAAAAGGAAAGAATTCCACTTAATAATTTCCAGACCTTGGACGAGATTCAGAAGCTCTTGGTGTCTCTGTGTCCTCATACACTAAATGAGGACAAATCATCCTTCTACACCTCTCCAATGTGTTTGACAGCTTAAGTAATATGATATACAAAACTGAATTATGATTAATAAGTTAGAAGCAAGGATCACTGGTAGTGACTTGTAATGATTTTCTTCTTTTTACTTTTTATTTGTGATCTTCTAGAACTTCTAGAAATTGATGTTGATTATTGGTATTTTATGGTTAACAGCAGGGAAAAAAAGATGGCTTCACTTGAATATCCATTGCTCAGGAACCTAATTTGAACACCCCTAGTGATAGCAGTTTGCTGCTACATATTCATTTCAGTTTTAAAGGTAGATAGCTAAAATCTGCACAATGTATAGTCATAGGTGAGACTATAACTACTACAAACATGCCATATGAAGCACAGAAAGTCTCATTTTTGACTTGCACTATTTGACTTTTGTTTATGGAGTTATGCAAATAGCTACAGTGTGTTTTGAAAAGGCCAATGAAACTTCTAGTCCAAATTCAGGCAGGAAAAATCATTCAATTCCCATGGCTTTGAAACTCTGTTACTGCTCTGCATAAGAGGAGATGGCTATACAGAAGCATTACAAGTCAAGTGGTTAATAGGGAGAGAGTCACTGAGAAAGTTGCTCTAAAGAAGACTTACAAGACAAGTTAAGAGCTGGTATCCACCTACAAAAGACTTAAAATACATCATCAGACCTTGAAATGCTTACCCCAGCATAGTCATCTCATTCACTGACTCAGAATTTAGATTCGTGCAGCCTTCAAAAAACTAAATTTCCCTAATGGAAGAGTTATGTTTTTATTGGTCTGCAGGGAAGGAACATTTCAAGCACTTAATGCAATGCCTGGTCTCATTTCCATAATTCTTTTTCCATTAAGGAATGAAAAAGAATGGAAAAAATTACTCCCTTTTGCTGAAAATTCTGCAGATTTTCTGTCCATCATATTCTGTTTACAAAGGAAATAACACTGACATCTTTTAAACACTGAACACTAAAAAAATGTTTTCTCTGTTGCAAGCTTGGTGATGATGCAGCTCCTTTCAATCACACAGAAAAAAAAATAATTAAAACTTTAAAAACCAGTTAGGAATCAAAACTAAAAAGACAAAACCCTTCCCTTCTCTTACACTTTCATCTTATGACACAAAATGAAGTATTCTGATGCACATGAGCAAGTGGAAAACTAGATCAGTATGGCTTCATCACTGCAATAAAAATAGTTACGAAGTGAAGCAATATTCTCATAAACTGTCATAACCCTCGACAGACCTAGAGTTAGAATATCAGCAGGAAATAAACAAGCACATCTTTTGAGAACTCTTTGGGCTGGTTATCTACTTCCAGCCCACCACGAACCTACTATTCATCTCTGCAGGAAATCCTACAGAGTAAATACATCATTTTGCTTTTCACTTGAGTCCCTCATTAGCAGACCCAGTGCCTTAACGATAATGCAAATGTTTGTAGTCACACAAAAGCACTTGCCACAGCTACTCAATATATTAAAACATTGGACACATGCTGCTGAACAAAGAACATGAGAAGCGCGAAAATATGTCAAAACTATGTACTTGGTTCCTCACTGAGCAGTGAGGTATCCAGTAAAACACAGAAGACTGCACAAAAGTTATCAACTCACTGTTTGCTAGGTTAAACACATGGCAACACAAGCCTAAACAGCTGACTAGCTGTCTTCCTTTGGCTCACTTTGGAAGAGATGCTAAAAACTCCCAGATCCGAGACTGAAACAGAAAAAAAGCACTTTGACTGACAGCCTTAATTTGCAGCTGAAGCAATCCCAGCCAGTGCTGACTTTAGGGAAATTCAATACTTTAACAGATGTCCTTAGACTGTTGTAGGGAATTATTAAAGATATTTGGAAATCCTTTTAAATTTTAACAGGCAATTTAAAAATAATGCTTCACAGTCAGAGTGGTTGCAATTTGGATGGTCAAAAGGAGTAGCTTTGATTTGATCCTCTGAATTCAAAGACTTCATAGAGTAAGCGCAAGTGAAGCTTGTGGAAATAATGGAAATGGTGAATTTCCTGCAGGCTGACAAAGTAATGGGGAAAATAAAATATTAAAGCATAATCCAGGCTGGCAAGGAGCAGTCTATGGAGAAGTCACTCAGAGCACCATTTTCCTGCTCAATTCTACTTCTCACTGACATTACAGAAAGCAAACACTGCTCTATACACAGGTGGACTGTCAGAGGGTAAAAGCTTGTTTTCTGTAAAGCAAACAGCCAGCAAAACCTCGCCTTCACTTGGCCTACTGCCACATTCACCTGCCTGCACCCCTGAGTGCTGTTCTAAGGAGCAGCTGAAAGAGGGGAAGTATTTATGTGGGTTATAACAAATATATTCCTTTCTTGAAGTCCAACCAGTCCTACTATAACACCAGCTAAATGTGATGGTAGTAATAACAGCAGTGCTACTCCCCTGAAATGCATTTTCTATTGGTAGGGACAACTCAGAGCTGCACAAGGTAATGTCTCAGTTTTGTCTAGTTTGGAGTGACAAGTATTCGTCGCCCAATAACCGAGAGACAAAGCAATGATTTTAGGGTACCTGAAATGTCCTTCACTAAGAATGATAAACCTCTAATGAAAAGCCACAAAGGCATCACCTCTTAGTCCTTCTTTAGCATCACACACTGCTGGGGACACAGCACTGTACGTTACCTGGTAGTGCAGGTGTCAGGCATGTCCCCCTGCCTACCAGAAAAGCTGACTTGGTAACCTTTACTGTGTCATTTTTTGTCTGTTGACACAGATATGCTTAAATTAGTATCCTTGACCCAGTTTTGCGTGTTCCCATATGACTTGTTCATCTTTCAAAGGGAAGCACCAGTAATATCTCACTCAGTGCAGAGTTTCCTAACCACAGAGGTCTTCCAGAACATCCTGTGAGCACGTCAAAAAACCCCAAGACCTGACCCTGAGTCTCCATTTCTTCCCCTTAAATCCTGCCTTAAGAATAGAAACTCCTTTGGAGAGTGTCTGATGCTGAAAAAGCCAGAGCTGCCCCTATAAAATGGAGAGTTGTGAGGAAAAAAATGAGTAAACCCCCTTCAGAATTGATAACAGATGCTGTAGGGACCAAGCAACTGGCACCACCACGGGTCTGAGCAAACCTCACCAGAACACTGTATAGACATAGTTCATCCTGAAGAGCAAACGTGAACCACTGGACAGCATCTATCTTTGTCTGTGAAGGAGACAAACTTGGGAGTATTTAGTAAGCCCCCATCCTTAAGATCATGCTTGGATTCTGGTCTTCATCTACATTAACAGCAAATCTCAACTTCAGGCTTGCAAG